TGCGTACCTGGCGAAGCTTACGCTCTATGCTATTTCGGGCTCAGTGAGGCTGAACTTCCGACTCAGGACCCCGGTCTTCCCATCGCAAGATGCACAGCGTCCGGGGACCTGCAGATCACCGATGAGGTGCGAAAGACCATGCTGGACGCTTCAGGCCACACAACTCCCTTCAGAGCCCTCGGTGTCCGTGAGGCCCGACTGCTCTTCGGCCGTTGCCCGGGGAAGCTGCAGCCTAAGCGGAAGTTCGAGCCTACGATTTCATTCGCCGTGGTGCCGAGGTCAAGCCGGCATGCAGACTCCGCTGAATGGCAGCTGCCTGAAGCTCGGAGGCAGCTTGGCATCCGACATATCCGCACCTCAGGCTGCAGTTGGCATCAAGATTGGAGGCGCCAGACATCCGATTCCGTGCTTCTTCTGCCCCAAAAAGCCACGCGGAGCAGCTCAGACTCAGAGAGGCCAACCTGGGCAGCTTGAACTCCGAGCTGAATGCCCACGTTGAGTCTGGTGATGCTGAAAGCGGATGACTCAGATGGCCTCCGGACGATGGACGGCGAAGTTTTGTTTTTTTTTCCAGGCGCTGTGGCAGCCAAGAGCCCAGCGCGTTGCAGATGCAGCTCCCCTCACGGAAACGTGTCTGATGCCAAGCAGGTTCTGGCTCAGATCAGCGAGCGCCGCTGCCACCCGAGGATAGATTTTTCAGCGCTGCTACTGCAATATACTGCAATCAATCTTCGTAGTTGGGTGTAGCGAGGTCTAAAACCAGACGTTGTCACCTACACCACCCTGATGAAGGCAGCCGGCGGGTTTGCAGATTTCAGAGAGGGAGAGCCTCTGTCCACGGAGCACACTCTTTCCTTGAGCAGCGCTGGTGCCAGCCTTTCGCTTGCGAGCGTTCTCCGAAAGGCTGGCGCCCGGAGTGTCAGCCCATCCGATGTTGAGCAGATCGTGCTTTCAGCATTGCAGGCGAGGCTTTTTCTGTCGACTCTTTGAGCTGTGCATCACGGCATGGAACGGACATGCATCCATCAAGGCAGGTTCAAGACAGTTCGCGTCGAGCCCGCTTAGCCATGCAAATCTTCGTCAAGACCCTGACGGGCAAGACCATCACGCTGGATGTGGAAGCGTCAGACACCATAGATAATGTCAAGGCCAAGATACAGGACAAAGAAGGTGCCCTGGCACAGTAGTTCATCTGTTGCAGGGTTTTCGATGTTCTTGGCTGGTGGCGGCAGGTGAGTAGGTCGTAGTGAGCACATAATAATAATACTACTAATAATAATGCTAATAATACTAATAATCCTAATAATACTAATACTAATAATACTAAGAATAACAATACTGAAATTGCTAATAATACTACTAATAACAGAACTAATACTACTAATGATAATATACTATAATATGTTACAATCATCTCGTCAGGCATCCCTCCGGACCAGCAGCGCCTGATCTTCGCTGGAAAGCAGTTAGAGGATGGCCGTACATTGTCGGACTATAACATCCAGAAGGCACCGCCGAGCGAGAGAGATAGAACATGGTAGGGGGGCACCCCCTGCACCCTAACCCTGACGAAAGAACAGCCAAAAGGATGGAGTGTCAATGCACACTTCAGTAGGATGCGGAGGCAAACTTCAGGCACCCGGCAGGTAAAAAAAGTCCATACTCGAGTTTCCTTGCAAGCCCACACATGCTTGAGTCGCCCTTGGTACTCGTGGAATTTGTCTTGTTGGGGCTCGTGACCGCACCCGAAGGAGTCAACTTTGCACCTGGTGCTTCGCCTGCGAGGAGGACATTGTCAGGTCCCCTGCGGCATCTTTGATGACCCCAAGCTTGTGGCTGATGTCAAGGAGGCAGTTGCCACTATCAAGAAAGCGATGGTTCAAATAGGCGAGCTCTCCGCAAATATGACTGCGTTGAACATCAATCAGATCACGCGCTGGGTCAACACCAAGGAGGAACATGCCGGCAAGATCATCTCGCTCATGTCGGAGTATTGCTTGTGCCAAAGAGTGAAGCCCGTCAGCGATCCAAAGACACCCTTTGCCAGCAAGGATGAATATGTGTCGGCCATCCAGTCCCATCACAAAGTTATGTTGGCAGCTGTGAAATGTAAGCAGAATGTCGACCCCGCAGTGGCTGATGCACTAGATGCTGCTGTGGTTGAGATGAGCAAGATGTACATCAAACATGCGGGCGGTTATGGCGCAAAGTGACTAGACTTGCGCGACAACGTACCTAGCCAGGAAGACAGCGCGGCTCAATCAAGCATTTGTTCCAGTTGTGCTTGGTTCTAAAACCGATACACCTCAACCCCTAATCTGGCCGCTCCGAGCGTGTGGGCGCAAACCGCCCGTGCACGTTCAGGCTTGTTGATGCTTATTGTACTGCACTTTCCGAGCACAACTGCCAGCGCTGCTGAGAATTTCCCGGGCGTTTCTCTCCCGGCAAGGATTGGTGAACTCAACAGAGCAACGTCCTGCTCGATTGTGTGAGCATCCTTGTCCTTCGCCTGGGCACTCGCAAGACTCCGAGTTCGAATTTGCAGAAAAGTTCGCGCTGTGGAAGATAGTCGAAGGGGGCAGTCTGTTCATGCCCTGCAGCAGATTCTAGCCAAACAGTCCTGGCACCTACGCTGCCGGTCGAAGTTGCTGTTTGCCAGGAAAAGATCCTCGTGGACATTGACCTGGCCTCAGTTTCACAACAGTTGCAACATCGCCAAGCGTGTGCAACAGATGTGCTTCTTCAGGGTTTTTTTTCCACCGCCCTCTACGCCTTCGCCCGAGCCGGAGATTTGCCGAGGCCTTTGCAGCGAAGCTCGCGCGCACCCTTGGAAGCGCGCGTGCATTCACAAGATGCTCGAGAGCGTCGAAAGTCGAGGGAAATTAGTTGGCAGCGCTACTGGATTGGCCTTTCTTTGCGCATCTTTGCGCACCATGGTTCACACGAGCCGGAAAGTTTATTCTGCACTGAATCTCACCTCGTGATACGGTAGTTTCAATCCGCGGGCGTTGTGCTGCCACCCGTAGTGGGACAATCTGGATGCAGCGGCAGACAAAGAGAGCGAGAGAGAGCGAGACCTTGGGGCGCTGTCCCCTCTCCCTCAGCCCTTGAGAAAGAAAGAGAGCGAGACCCCTACACCGTAGCCCTGGCGAAAGAAAGAGCGAGATCCCTCTATTTCATGGGCATTGCTTGGAAGGGCAGAAAGATGTGTTTTGATCATGCGCGATGCTCGAGCCACAGCCTCAATGTTAATGATGGCTTTCATGTTGCCTTCGCCATGATCGGCTGGGGGGTTGAATCTTGCTGAGATTGTTCCGGACCTGGCATGCCAAAACCTTACTTCCAGTTTCGAGATGTGACTGCAGTCAGTATCGGCCTCAAAGCTTTCGAACGGAGGCTACAACTCGTTGATTCACGCTGCGTCCAAAGCCGGCCAGCAGTGCCCTCAAGCAGCAAGGGTTGTCAGTTCCATGCCGTGATCAAGTCGCTAAGACAAGGCTACACCGAGTTCAGCACTGGCTTGACCAGGCGAGCCGGCGCTTTGACGTTGTGCCATGCTGTGCCCAGCTGTCATGGTATCTCTGCTCAATGTGTCATTCGTGCATTGGCCGATTGGCCTGCGCAGTGATTACATGAGGTTCCGGCTGTGTAGCTGAAGCCGCGTGCGTCACGCTATGTCACGCTGTGCTTCCACCAATGTGCACGAGGCTGAGATGTCCGGCTTGCCCATGACGGGCGTCGAACACTTACTTGCCAAGAAGATTCTGGCCTATCCACGTGTCTACTTAGTGTCTCGGGTGTTCCCGAAGGTTTGCTACGCTCTCGCCTGAGAATCCGATCTTCGACGGACGAGGGACCAGGGGCCTCGAAGCTTCGGGCATTTCCTTCCCTTGTGCCGAGGCTTCTGTTCTGAACGCTTGTGCCAAAGTTGCCGATGCAGAAGGAGCAGAGGCCCCTTCCAGCTCTCAGCACTTCCCCAAGTGGCCTCATGCGTTTTCAAATCCGTGTGACCTTGGGGCGGATGGGCGGGATGCCTTGGGATGAAATCGCCGCAGCCACTTGGTTTTCTGCTTGTCCTCACCACTCAAGGACCCAGGCGCGGAGGGAGACAAAAGACTCTTTGACATGATAGGCTTCGCTTCGGGCTCTCGAAATCACAGCGATCTTCGGCTCAGATCGCCCGATGCGATCGTGGCTCAGAGAGCCTGTGCATAGGGTTTACGGTTTACGGCGCTACGGCTCTGCACTTCAGGGAGTGTGGCTTAGATGTTTTAGGAAACAGTGGTGGTGCTGGTGGTACGTGGCTTCGTAGTAGTACGGCCGTGAAGGGATCATGCAAAATCGAATGGCGAGAGTGTAGACTGCCATGCATAGCATGAGAGTGGGTTCTTCATTCCGTGATGAATCCTAAACCCTAAGCCCTAAACCCTAAACTAGGGATTCGTGTTTGTGGTTCGACGCATGTGAAGTTGTTTCACTTTTGCAGACCTCGCACCATATGCCTCGCCTGGATTGTCCGAGTGTGAGCGCCGAAACCCTAAACTCTAAACCGTGCAGGCTGCAGCCAGTTTGTGGAGCATGGCCGTATCTGCTAAGTGGCGGGAGCAGTGGATAGAGGCCGCGGTGCAGAAAGGGTCGGAGACAGACCTGGTCCCTTGTTTGCCGCCGAACCTTCTTAGGAGGGCCCTTTGCAAGTGTCCGTGCTCCTCAGGCAGTATCCCAGATTCGGAGCGATCTGGGCTATGAGAAGAGAGCCATGGCAGCACTTTTGGTGCTCACCTGGCTACCAGAAACATCTCGAACGCGACAGGTGCTGAGCAGCTTCGAGCACTACAAAAAACTGGCCTTCTGAGGCTGACAGACTTGAAGAACGATCCCGCTAAGTTCTTCGAGGCCTGGCTGGCATGCAGCAGGTGAGGTTTTGCTGCGACTGTCTTGTGAAACTGCTCTGTTTCCTGTTGCTTCACTCCGTTGGACTGAAGTTTTGAGACACCCAGAGAGCCCGATACCCCTTAATTAAGGAATATAGCCTAAATCATAATATGAAGCCCCTTATAATTTAGGCCATGTTCCTTAATTAAGGGGTATTGGGCTCTCTGGGCAGAACCGACTCACGATGCGGAGAGGCCCACCGCCTCCTGGCGCACCATGCTCCAAAGCTGGGCCCTGGCTTCTGGATCCGCTTCACGGTGCTTTGGCACAGAACGTCAGAGGGTTTAGGGTTTAGGGCCGTTTAGGGGTTTAGGGGTTCAGGGTTTAGGGGTTTATGGTTTAGGGTTCAGGGTTAAGGGACGAAGTTCAGATGCCCAGGTGCATTACAACCTCTTCGCGGGATCAGTCCTGGCAGTCCGAGCCTAAAGATATGAAAGCACTCAGAGGCTTCATGAGGCTTCCTGGTGGTCCCGTTGGAAGATCCCGCTCCGCGAACCCCTGCCCACATTTTGAATTTCGACGGCGCTGGTCTTCCACAAGACTTCAGCAGTTGAAATGTGCGGAACTTCCTCCGCAGCAACCGTCACCAAGGCAAATGGACACGTGGGAACGAACCTTTGCATGTTGGAACATACTGTTCAAAGCTTTCAGCCAAAGACAACCGAAAAGCCGCCACGGCACTGCTTCAATCCTGGAGCTGGTGATCTCAGTCTTTCAGAATCAGACGTTTCCACCCCGTGGACAGCCTCCTTCGCAAAAAGAAGTCAGGTCGGAAATGATCAGCAAGTCGCACAGTTGGATGACATTCAACAGAAGGCGGGTGCTCCTGTACTTCAGCCAGTGATGCCTTTGCTTGCACGGCTTGCAGGGCCTGCTAGGCTGCTTTGGCCTGACAGAAAAACTCGCTGGTGTCAACAGCTGCACGGCAAGACTTCAGGGCTGACCAGAAGCTTACTATTATTATTATTACTATTATTAATTATTATTATTATTATTATTATTATTATATTTTTTATATATTATATTAATTGTCATACTATTATTATTGTAATATTATTATGCGGTCATGACAGGTAGAGCGGATACATCGGTTGAGTCTGGCGCTGGTGCCTGCAGCCCGGTTTGCTGTCGCTTAGGTGGTGGAGTCGTCAAAACCACTGCAGAGTGGGACGTCCGGAGCTCAGCTTTCAGACTCAGAGTCGCCAGGGGCCTCAGCTTTCTGCTGCAAGGACGCTTCCAAGGAGTTTGTGATAACCTCGTCAGATGCTGCTTGCTTGCAGATTCCTCATCGAGCCGCGTGTTGTATGGATGATAGCCCTGGCTTGTCCCGTCCTGTCATGTGCAGCCGAGGTCGGCGCGCACAAGAACTGGATCTCACAGGGTTTGGTTGGTGAGCTGGCCGTGGTGGTGGCAGATCTCCGCGTCGCTGGCAAGAGGCCATGCCTCGAAGAGTGCTCCGATGCTCCACGAAGGCATGAAGTCTCGATGGCAGGTGTGGAGCTCACGCCTTCTTAATGCAGCTTCGGAAAGAGGGTCAACCTGTCCCCAACGTAGAACTGGGTGACACCGGGCAGAAAGCTTAGAAGTGCTGTCTATACTTCTGTACCTTCCACAACTCCACGCCTTCAGTGTCGAGACAATTGAGCATGCAGTCGGAGCTTGAAAGGACATGGGCCGCAAAACTGTGGGCAATGATCTGGACAATGCTTGGATCGTGCCTTGGTCGCAGCAACCTGCCCCGCCCTCTTGTTTGCCGACGGTTCCGGGACTCCCCATTCTTGAAAACGAGAGTACCATCATGTCATGCACGAATTCCGTTGTTGAAACCGACGATTGAGTTGTCACACGGGCCTTGCTCGGAAAAAGTGTCCAGGTCCTTGCCCTTGACATTGCCAGCACCTGCTGATTAGATTAAACTGTATACATCGTGGGCTCGCGACCATCGCCGTTTGTTTCCAGATGTTTCCAGTGATGATACGCGATACGGCCTGGTGGCACAAGTCTTGCATCACGTTGTGCCAAATCCAGGTTTCGATTCTCGGTTTTCAGGCATCGATGCCGTTGCTTTTCTGCCATAAGGCCCCGCCGGCATTCAGGGTTGCTTGCCTGGAAGGTTTGGCTGGCTAGGCCCAAGGCACGCGCATAACCCCTGATTGGTCACTGGAGTTGCGACCGGCCGCGAGGGCTCTGCCAGCGCTTACAGAAATCTGTTTGGTGTTGTCTCAGTCATTGCAAGAGGGAGGGTACATGGCGGTGTCCTGTCCGGCATGCGTTTGCGAAAATCGGCATCACCGACTTTCTGTCATGGTTTGATAGCCAGGACCGAGATTTTTTTGGATGCTGACGCTGCACCTGTAACCCCGATACTTTCGAACGCCCCGGTGCAGCCGATTTTTCAGGCATAGCTGCTCAAACCGTCCTCCTGCCTGCCCGCGCGCCTGCGGCAATTTGAGTAAGCTGGGTTTCCTAAGAGCGCTAGAGGAACACGAATACCGAAAATCGCATGTCATGTGCACGTCGCCTGGGCCGTTGGTGGCACATGCTGTGGAAGCGATTTCCCGGGCATGCGGTGATTCATGACCCCCCCCAGTTCCAGTGTATTGCTGGCCTCTTGGGGCCCAGAGGCTTTCCATGGCGCCAGAATACCACACAGTGCTCTCCTGAATCGGTATGGGGACGTGCAGCCCGGCAATGGCGGCACCTACATTAGCAAGGCCAAGGCGCTGTGCTCCGAGTCGCAATGTGTCCCTGTATACTTTTGGGTAGTTGTCAAAATTATGGTCCCTTTTGGGGTACCCTAAATAATAGGTGCCGTATTATAATAAGGAGCCAAAAAAGGGACCATAATTTTGACAACCACCCTTTTGTTGTAGTGCATGTCGGCACAGACAGGGCCTGACGAACATGGGCATGATCGGTCAGCGCCTCTTCAGTGGCCGTGTCGCTGTAGCCTGGGCCGCGCTGACCTTCACCAGAAAGCCACCCGATCACATGGGAGTTTCAGAAAATTAGGGGGTACCTTATTTTGGGGTCCTTATAGTAGGGATCCTATTATTTAGGGTACTATATAAGGGTCCCCTATTTCGGAAACCCCCACATCAAGTGTACCAATGCAGCATGGACTGAACGTCGGCACTGCAGACTGCATGACTCAGCAGACCTTGCAAACCATTTAAGCAATAAGAAGAGCCTGTCGAAGTGTGGAGAAGACTCTGCACCTCCTACATCTATGCCTCTATGCGGTGCTTTTTTACATTGCCCGCAGAGGAGGGTCGAAAACTTGAAATACACCGATACACCACTGAAATGCGCCCGTTACATTTGGAGTGGAGATGACGAGAGAAAGAGAGATACACGCATCAGGCCATTGTGTTTAGAAGCTCCACTAACCTTGCTGCTCCGCTCAATGCTCCTTCTGGAACGTCTCATTGCAGCGGCACAGGTTGTACGACATGACTCGCCAGTATTCTGATCGCAAAAAGTGTCAGGACCTCAGTCGCCGGGCTCGGTTCTGCCAAACACCTTTAACAAGCAGGCCAATGCAGATATCGAGTTATGGTTTGCTCTCCTTCGCTTGTGTAGCTGTAGGCTGGGCGCCGAAAGGCACCTCGAACTTGACAAGCGTTCCGCAGCTGAACCACTTGTCCCCTGTCTGCAACAGTTGTTCGACTCTAAACCCTAAACCCTAAACCCTAAACCCTAACCCTAAACCCTAAACCCTAAACCGTGAGTGAGTTGTTCTTAAAAGAACGCAGCCGCGCTTGGTGCATGACAGGTATGCGAGAGCAGACTCCAATTTGGCACAGCTGGAAAGCTTTGTTGGGGAGTGCGAGCGGCAATTAAATGATTGCTCTCCGTCTGCAATATTGAATGCTCAATGTGCAAGTCAGTTGGTTGTTGCCGACTTCGTTCCTAGCACAAGCCTGCTTAAGTCCACCTGTGCTAGCCTTTTGCACCCTTGGGAAGCCTCAAACCCTCGCAGCTGTACCTCTTTTCCGCATGTCATAATTATACCCCGGGCGCAGTGCAGGATAATCAACATGGAGTGTGAGCAAGTGAGTCCACTCTCCGCCATGGAAGAAAGCCACAGAATATCATCATGTTATCGTCCCTCTCCCAATCGCACTGTCAACCTTTTCCAGCGTGGGGCCATGGACGTGCACAGCCCACGGACCCACACGAGCAGAAGCATACTTGGCAACTATAGTTACAACCCATATTAGGGGACTTATAACCTTACTTATAACTACCCATGAACCTGGAAGTACCACCAACACCCATCAACCACACTTCAAGCCCCAGCCCGCAGCGAGGCCACGGCCCCAAAACTCCCCCTGGCCCTAACCCCGTAACCTTCGACCTCGAACTGCTGTCCAGGCCTTCGGAAAGATGAGATACCTTCTGTGGCTCTCCAGGAAGCGATCGCATGCGCCAAGATCGTTGCAAGTGTCATCCATCTGGAACAGTGACAGTTTTATCCCTTTTGTCTATGTGAATTCCCTTGCGAGACTGGAAGAAGATGCAGCCAGAAGTTTCTTTATGAGCTTAAGGAGACCAGCATCGACCTCTGCTTTCGCCTGAAGCAAGACGTTGGATCCCATGCTTTGATGGGCGATACAGGCTTCGAGCAGATGGACTTCCTGCAGGAGCCCGGTTCAAAAGCATAACAGTAGGGCCTGCTAATGAGGGCTTTGTAACCGGTATAGCCTGTTGCGAGAAAGGTATATTCGTTTCGGCAGAGGCACAGAGACAAAGACACACAGACACAGGGAGACACGGAGACACAGACACGCAGACATGCAGACACACAGACGCACGGACACACAGATGCACGGAGACACAGAGACACAGACGCAGAGACGCAGAGACACAGAGACACAGACACACACACACACACATGCAAAACCCCCGAAAGGAGTGTTTAGAGTTCTTTACAGCACTCTCTTCATTCGCTTCCCATCTGTTGAAGATGAGCTTCTGTTTGGTGCTCTCGGCTAGCCCCTCGCCATGCAATGCAGGTACGTTTGCAGCTCTTGTCATTGGCCTCTTCGTTGGCCATCCACCAACAACAAGAGGGATGGCCGTCTGCAACAGCACGCAACCCTATTCATTCCCTTGGCTCCGCGTCCGCCCGCCGGCCGCCCGCCGCCCACCCGCCGCCCGTCGCCCGCCCGCCGCCCGTCGCCCGCCCGTT